TCAGGCAAAATTGTAATGACGGACAAACAATATCTAAAAAAAGATTAAAAGCAAATTTTAGTGAGATTTAAACGCTTTATAATGTCTCAAACACCACGATTTGGGACATTGAAAGTAATACTTGTAATCTTATAAGTTTATAGCCATCGGCTGGTAAGAAAAACCTTAAAGTAGAAATCAATGTATAACTGAAACCTTGTAGCTACAAGTTCGAAAGCAAAATTCGCAGGAAACACAATTTGTTCACTGAGAAAACCTACTCTAATCTAATATATTCGCAGCAACGAAGAACTTTAGATGCGTGCTGTGCAAATTTCACCTCTTAATTCTTTTTTTCCCTTTTTTTTTTTGCCCGACCTTTGACATACGATGAGCAATTGAATAAAAAAAAGTGTTTTGTACAGAACTGATCAACCTACTGTTCTTCTGGAGAGTACTCCAAACGTAAAGGATTCAGGAATAACACTTTGCTTTTCCCTTTCCAAGTGCTTCGTAAGAGAAATCATTCAGATAGGGAACCCATTTACAAAGCTGAAACGAAAAATAACAATGTGTTTTTTAATCAGTTTTTACATTATTAAAAACTATTACGTTTAGGAAACCAAATTAACACTTTGGCACACTCGTGATCATATTATGTTGAATAGATTGAGAAGATACATTAATTGTGTGAAAGGCAAATAATTCTGTAATTCCAAGAATAGAGTAAAGAATAAAGCCTCTCAATGGCTCCGCCATATTTAACAATCGGTCCTACATCTTAGGCAGGATGCATGCTCTCCCCGGACCACTAAGGTCGTAGTAACGTTAAGGAAACCCTAACATCAATGCTTCCCGCGCCTAGCACATCCACGATTATAAAAAAAGGGTGGGGGGGGGGGCGGGTATTAATTTGGAGCTCTTTATTTGAGAATCAGGAGGGTCATATCAAAAAGCCTCAATTTCATCCTTGGTCCTAAATGTACAATGTACAACGAGAAGTTGTACGAACTTACAGCTGCTTTCGATGACGGATTACAGGCACCATTCAACCTGAGCCACCTGCACGGGTGATAGCTGTACCAAAATCCGTCCTCTTCAACTTTTACAGTGAAGCCGCTGGGGAAATATTTCAAGAAATATTATATGAGGAGGCATTGAATTGCGAAGTGACAAATATACAACATAATGGAGATCAGATCGCCGAATTACCCACTTAAATAATCATCTCATATGAGGTATGACTAGGGGCCTGTTTACATGGAGGTGGGGGACCTTAGGTTGGTGAAGTACCCCGCTTGTCCATAAAATCTCTTATCTTGATCACGTTAACATAACACGAACCATACAAAGTAATTTAGTATTATCGACTCAGTTGATAACGTAAATTGGCCACCGTAAAGAATTTCAAAGCTGACGTTTCGAGCGTTAGCCCATTGCTCTGACGAAGGGCTAATGCTCGAAGCGTCAACTTTGAAACTCTTTACGGTGGCCAATATACGTTATCAACTCAGTTGAAAATACTAAATTACCCTGTTATTCACCCCCACCAACGCAGCACCACAGTTTCGTTAGTTTCTTTTTGTGGTTCTAGAAACCTTATTCAATCTTTGCTATTCAGAGCAATTTTTGAGCAAAATATGGGTTTAGAGCACATCAAGCACGCAAGAAGTCAATAATTTCAGAAAATCTGCTTGCAACTTATGTAAATGTCTTCAATTTTTATCAACCTTTTGAAACATAACCTGTCACTTGACAACGTTTCGCAGATTTATTGCAATCCTCATCTAATCATATAACGGATAATCGGCTAAAATGACGTTCGGCATCGTCAAATAAACCACGCTTTTTGTTCTCTCAGACTTAGGTATCAAATTTCTTTCATATTTGCGAGCAAATCTTTTAAAACTAAGATTCAAGCTTTTCTTCTTCACCGATCTTACCAACTATAGTGAATAACGAAAAATAAAACTTTTGATCGTTTATTTTTAAAAATATCAAAACGTTTATGTGACAACTTTTGAAAATTAGGTAGCAATTTTTTCGATTTTTGGGCAATTTTTTAGCAACTTATTTTATTGAGCAATTTTCCTTCATTATCGAGCACAATCAGGACAGCCCTAGCCTCGATCCCGCTTTATGTTTGGACAGAGGCCTGGGATCAGCATCGTTTCTCGTTTTTTCGCTCGAGCATGTGATGAAGAAATACCACGACTTAATCTCATTTCATAATGACTTTATTACGGTAATTCGCTTGATTTCATTAGGGAGTTTCGATTTTAAACTGATACTAACTACATTTTTTTAAGTACCGCAGCATTGGCATCTCATGTCTGTGCGAGCGCACAGAACTATCTCACCGATGTTTTCTTCGTTCTAATTAGCACGTTCACATTCCACGTTTTAACTATCAAACATCAAAAGGAATGCCGTGTGTCGAAACTGTAGAAAAAACAGAGGCGGACAGAATTCGTGGTATGAAGCACCCATTTGCGAGCAAAACGGGTCAAAAGTAGCAAACAATATTTTTCGTCCTGTCGTTTTTTCGTGGAACAAAGAAACAAATCTGAGTCCCCATGAGGAAGCGAACTTCACTCTTAAGCTCTACCACCGAGCCACAGAGATTCCCCCATGAGCAAAGTCATTACGAATTCCAAATGTGACAGTCGTCCCACACACAGTAAGAATTAGCAATGTCAATAGAGACACATTTGTTAACAGAATAAGATATATGTTAACTTCTAAGCTCGTTAAAGAAATAGTGAAAGATGTTTTTTCTTCTTTGAGTCTCCATGAGAAGTTATAGGTAACACAACATAATGAAAATGATAATGACCGAAGATCATTTGGATGGAACATATTGTAATGGATAATTTAGTCAGGGAAAGAAACAGCTATAAATGCGATGATCTTCGGAGCCTACTGATTGTTTACGAGTTATCTAAGCGAAAAAGTTGAGCTCTAAATTCAGAGACGGTCAATTACGTTATATATAGTTGAACAAGTACCGATAGACCCAACGATACAAGTGGATGCCGGGCTTAAAAGAGATGCAACTCTCCTAATAAAAACTCTAGACGGTGAGAAAATAAGGATTGAACGCATTTCATTATTCTAGGAGGTTGACCTGTATTAAACTTTTACTTTGTTTTGTTTACCTTTCATCTTTCAGTGAACTGAGATTACATATATTTCCTTTGTGATCTTTCCAAACGCAGGTGTTAGTGCCTAATGTAGAGCACTCATGCTCTGTGGACCGCGCCACGGCGCAGTTTGCTTTAGGATCTTGGTATTGAATAGTCATAAGAAAAAATGCAATGCTCAGAAGACTCCTGGACCAATTCAACAACAAAAACATGCTTCAGCAATATCTAAAAAAAACCGAGAGAGGGTCATAGATTAGTATTTTGTGTTAATAAAGTATTAAGGTCCTCTCGCTAACTATCTCCTTGTAAGCAAACTTTTGATGTTGAAGCTAAGGAAATCGACGTCACGAAGCGCAAACATAATTGATTTTCATGAGTGACTGTTGATCAACCCTGGGTCAAATTAAGAAATAAACCAAAACAGACATTTTGGGGAAACCCCGTGTAACCTCGTTATACTCATGTGATTTAACACCAACATGGCCAAGAAATTTGCAGGTTGGCTTTAACATGAATAAACTACTGTAATTGATTTTCATGAGTGACTATTGATGAACCCCGGGTCAAATTAAGAAATAAACCAAAACAGACATTTCGGGGAAACCCTGTGTAACCTTATGATACTCATGTGATTCAACATAAACATGGCCAAGAAATTTGGAGGTTGGCTTTAACATGAATAAACTACTGTAACTGATTTTCATGAGTGACTATTGATGAACCCCGGGTCAAATTAAGAAATAAACCAAAACAGACATTTCGGGGAAACCCCGTGTAACTTCATGATACTCATGTTATTCAACACAAACATGGCCAAGAAATTTGGAGGTTGACTTTAACATGAATAAACTATTTAATCGAGAAACAGATTGAAGTGACGCAGTATAACCCTTGGACGACACAATTTCCTTTCTCCTTTCGTGCGAAATCCACAAAAACTCGATAATTAGTTACTGACAGACATGGAATTTTGTAACGCGAAATGTACTTTCGCTTTAGCTCTGACTTCACAGTTCTGCAGAATAGTAATTCAGCGGGCCCACAAATAATGTTTCCGAGTGAATTGTCGCTTGTTAAGGGAAAAAACATGTAAATAACCACAATTGAATGGTGAAGCCTTCAACTATTTCCAATGATTATCGCTGGTTGCTCAGCCAGAAGTGTGTTGTTTAGTCCTCTTTTAGTCAAGTCATTAAGGCCGAGCTGAGATTGTCAATTCCGTCTGTTTTACCTGCTTTTTAATTAGAAAGTGGCCTGTTCCTCGGCTTTTCCGAGCTGTTACAAACCTACGACCCTTCGGTTTCTTTTGCTTACTGAAAGAAGGAAGGAATGCTTGAAGAATCTCTCGGTTGAATTCATTCGATATGATATGTCGGCAGAGGAGACAATATTACGTCGTTTAGGGAAATTCCCTTTGTCAAATATGTAATCGCATT